TAGGCTCAATCAGGCTTAATTCCATTCCTAAATAATTTTCATCAGGTATCCACCGAAAGAGAATGTATGCATTGGAGACATAAGCAACTGGTGCTCCAACTTTTGCCGTTTTCTCCATTTTTAGAAACCACTTCTACTCTCCTTCAGTAATATTTCTTCATTTTTATAGATCTTTTAAAAACAAACAAAAAATCAAACCAGATATTCCACCAAGCTTCCTGAGCACTCTTGCTTTGTCCTGTTCTGATAGTTGAGCTCTCTACTGCTCTACACCACACTATTTCTGCACTATTTAAGATGTCAAGCAGACAGTATTTCCCACATAAAAGAAGGAGAGTTGAAGGAGAGTTAAAAGGTAATTAATGTAGAAGTCCATTACAGAGAGTTTTTGCTTTAGTAAACCTTTGACACTGAAGGTTTGAAAGATGGCAGTCGGTGCTTTGTACAAAGTTTTAATGCTAGAGAGTTACTGAGAAGTCCTTCCTATGTCCCGCAGACAGAGCAGTTTATATTCTGGCCTATGCAGATCTCAGCTATGAAATAAGGACCTCTAAGTGAGATTTGACTTTTAATGTTGTTTTAATAGATGACTCACTTCTGAGACAGTAGAAACAAAAGCCCTAGTAAAGTATTAGTAGATACAGCTGTCAATCCCTTTTTTGCTTTGGTCCTTTTTCATAGTTTCACATGTGATATAGAATTCAGTCCAGAAGTATTTGAAATATTTCATTATATTACTCACAAGGTGACGCCTCTGCTTTCTAGTCAAATCCCCTAATATGAACCTATATTTAAGCATTAAACTCCTGAATCATCTTCTGAAACTAAGATCACTGGATAGCTAATGCTGAGTAGGCTAGCAGGTCCTCTGACAGTAGGCACCCACATACTTCAGTGTAGGCATGTGCTTACATGCTTTAGTGCATATGGTAGTATGTGTTCAGTCACATGATCAAAACTCAAGAGTCCTAACCTCTATGGAGACGATACATCCTGTTTAGTAGCAATGGCACAACTGTATTACAGGGCCACATGCTTAGAGGTGAAACTCACTAAAGGTAAATAAAGTTTATGAAAATAACTGTGAACAGAAATTGGGATTTTCTACCACAAATAGTATTATTTGCTTCTGACCTTGGCTTGCCAGCAATTTTGGAATACATCACGTTGTGTTGCTTGATGAGTAACTTTACCAGATGAGGAGAGTTGCTTTCCTTGTGAGAGGTAAGATTCAACATATTTTTCTTTGAAAGTCTGGTAGGTATTTTCAGAGGGGGGGAAAAAAAATAAATACATAAATAATAATTTTTTATATATATATATATATATATATATATATATATATATATATATATATAGTGTGTCCTGTACTATTAATCTCAGTTACTTTGTGAATAATGTTAAATAATCCTGGAATGTGAGTTCTCTGTAATTAAGCTGTCTTCTCCAGAGTTAGGTACTCCCTTTAAGATTAAGAACTCTAGGAACAAAAATATCTTCAAGTACGCATTACTTCAAAGCCAACAAAGAGGAATTAGTTAAAAATTGTATGATTGCATGCATCTTCTCAGGTCATCAATTGTTTTGTATATTTCATTGAACTCTGATATAGTTTAGACAATCCGTCCTGGTTCAGCTAGGATAGGGTTAAGTTTCCCCAGCAGAGAGGGCGAAGGGATCTCCAGCCGGGTTATTCATACCATGCTGATGTCAGGTCTGGGTGCAGGAGCACAGGAACTTTTTTCTTTGTGGCTTTGGTGATGGGGAGCACGCGAGCGAGCTGTCTGTAACCATTGTGGTCTTTCTCTGTTTATCTTTTGTCTTGTTCACTGTTATTACTGTTTGTTGTTGTTATCATTGCTACTGTTGTTGTTCAGATTGTTATTTATCACACTATTGTATTAAATTTCTTCTTATTTTAACCCGGGGTTTGTGCCTCACTGCCAGCCTGACCAGCTGAAGGTGGGGGAGGGACAACGGCAACCTGGTCTGCAGTCCCAGCAGGACTGAAACCAACACAGCCTTTTTGGCACCCAACGTGGGGCTCGAACCCACGACCCTGAGATTAAGAGTCTCATGTGTGACATATTCTCTAAAAGTGCAGCTCACCCTGCAGTTGGAGATTTGCATTCTTTGCCAGTGTAGGAGGTTGGACAGGCAGAGTGCAGAGATGGCTGTAGAGCTAAGCATGTTATTCAGCTGAGTGATCAAAGGGACATCAATTTGGGAAACCAAGATTGCTATACTGATATCCCTTGTTTTGTTTTGTTTTGTTTTGTTTTGTTTTCAGCAAGTTCTGTTCAAGCATTTTGCTGCCATTTCTGAATCCCCTCTAGACAGTCTGGTGATATTTCACCTTCAAGAGCCATTCCTGAAGAGGACAGATTCTCTTCTAGTGACTTTATTTCACTGTTGTTAACATACTCAGGACTGGTCTCAACTGATGCATGTTAATGAAATGTTTCATATACAGTGGGATTTAGCAACCTTAATGTCACGTTAAATGTCCTGTGATATATCTCATGGCCAGAGGAGTGCTTCAGAAGATCTACTGTAGAATCCAGTTTAATATCTGATTGTCCCATTTGGATGTCATTAGATACCTATATTTAGCCAATTTCACCCACAAAATTTTCTATTTCTGAATGTCTGTCTAAAAGAAGATGGTGGCTAACCACTAATGTCCATTTGCCCTTTCAACCGAAACTCTAATTTCTCTAATTCTCTGACAACTTTTCTCTATTACAATACTTGTCAGAATTTATTACCCATGTTGGACTTATTTTTTTCTGCCGTTGAGCTGAATGCTTGCAAGCCAAGAATAATTTGGGCTCTTACACATCACAACCAGTCTAGTATAAGGTAATTAATTACACATTACATCAAGAAGAAAAGTTGGATCTTGGATTTCCAGGAAATAATGTATAGGAGTAAGAAAAACTCCTGGTCAAGTTTGGGATCTTAAGCTCATTAACAGAAATAAATAATTAAAAAATACAGTGGCTTAATATATTGTGTTGTGTTCCACTGAATGTGAATCCTGTAGCTTTGAAGAAAAAAGCTCTGAAAACAAAAGCAGAAAAGGTGACAGAATGAATTAAAAATGACAACAGCAATTGGGGATTAGTATGGCAATAATAACTTCTACATATCTCAGTGTCTAACCAGAACCTTAATACTAGAAAGAAACACATCAGGATCATGCATACAGAGCAACACTGCTGTCATTCCTACTGGAACTATAATTCATAAAGCTATCAATGACACTTTCTCTAAAACCAGCTAGAGACCAATTATCCCAGTAGGATATTGAAAGCAAATCTATCTTCTTGCTCTGTGACTGCAGGAGAATTGTTAAGGGTGAGATCAATAGAAGTGACCCAGAAAAAGATAGCAGAGGTGAAACCAGAGAATTTAGCAATGAAGAAATTTCTTAATTCTGAAGAAAAAAGCGTGAAAACAACAGAACAGTTAGGGCTGTGAACCTATATTTTTGAAGGATAAACTCAACAAAACTAATATGGTGTCTGTTCTGTGGAGGAATTGCAGGCCTGCGTGTGAAACATCAGGTCATTGATACATCCCAGATGCTAACCAAGAAGCATCAGCCTTGCTCAGGGGCAGCTGACAATTCATCTGTAATTGATTTACACTGTGCAACATGGGTAGTTCTGTATTTTTGTTAGTTTTCTTGGTAAATTCTAGCTGTTACTGTTTGTAGTTCCTCTGGGGTGACTGGAGAATTCTGATACTTACCAGTTGTATTACAAGGGCTCAAACAGGGAGGGGTAAAAACGGTATAATTTTTGAGCCATTTCTGTAATTCCTGCTAATACTTTGACCCCAACACTTGTTCAAGGACTTTGGGGTATATCTGAGGACTTTCTTGTCAAAAGCAAGAAGATTTCTTCCCTTGGAAGATGGTATCTTGTTGTGAGGAAAAACAAAACACCTGAATATGGAATAGAGGGAAAGGCTTCCTTGTGGTTTTCCTGTTTTTAATAATGAATTATTCATGAGTAGTTTAAAGTGAACAAGGTGTTTTAAGAAAGCTAACAACTCTTCTCTGTAAATGAAGTTCAAATACAACTATACTTTACTGGTACAATTTACAGTACACTGAGAGATGCTCTATCTCACATGCTTTAACTCATTAGTCTTCCACATATGGCATACACTTCCCATGTCAGAGATCTGTAGACACTAAAGCCAGTCAAGTAAAATAATATCAAATATGTAAGTTTACTTGCAGTTTTTACATGTTATACATAAATTCTGTATATGGTTTCGCATTAATTAAGAATCTGCCTGTGTCATTGAATTTTCTGATAGGGTGCTTATAGGAATAATGTGGTTTAATATACCTTCAGTTACCTTTTTAGTGGTTGACATGTTAATTAGGATCATTAACTGTGAGATTAGATAGGTGATGATAGCTATGAAAAGTCAAAATGTTTCATGAGATTTTATCAATATAGTGCATATTTGAGAATGGCTGGTAATGCATATAAATGAAGAAAAGTATTCTATAAAACAGATGTAGTTCTAAATTTGTGCAAGATCAAGACTAGTTTTAATTTTTTGAGTATTTTTTGTGTGTTCTGAACAGTTTCTTTCAGAATCAATACTGCCTTATTTAGCTATGGCAGTAATTCATCATTGTACTAAAATCAACAGGTTTTCAGGTTAGCTCATTTTCCCAAATTTAGCATGAGATAGGAAATAATGAATTACTCCCAAGTTAGTTACAAGCCTTGAAAATACCATTGCTGTAAAGTTAATTATTTCAATTAGAGTTCCATTTTTGAACAGCTGCTTAAAAATAAAAATGTATACCTTACTGTAGTATTGACTTTATAGCTTTGCCAGGATGAATATCATCTCCATGTCCTGATGCAAGGGACAGTCCAATGCCTATGCTGTTGTCTGCTTACTTAAGTATCATGTGAAGAAAAACATTGTTATCTGATCATATTCAAAACTTTGTTGTTCTGTTTCAGTGAAGGCTGCTGAACTCTCAGGCTTCTGATATCTTCAGTGGAGACTCACAAGACTGTTTGACAGAAAACATATTTCTCAGCTCTTGGTTAGTCATCGATTAGTAAGTAGCCTCTCCTATTTTCATAGTTTTCATTCACCTCCAGTGAAGTGTTTGTGTTGTCTTAGGGGAATAACATTTTAAAAAATTAATTCACCATTATTTTCCCTTTCTTTTCTATAAAGGCAATTTTCTCTAATGTTAGGTGCTCCTTTGGAGACTATAATATATTTAAGTCAGCGTTTATAAACTTAAGTTATATACATAAGCAAAAGAAGGAGCATTTTCTTAGTACTCCTGTTCAGCATCTCAGAGTGTTGTTCAGTGACCTGGATTACTCCCAGAGTGAGAAGCATAAGCAGGAATAAGAATTAGTGGATCATCTGTTACAAATGTATTCCTCCATTAACATGATAGAGGTGGTCAAGAATGGTATCTATCTAGCAATCAATTACTAGAGTTGGTAAATCCAGTTAAATGGTACCTAAACACCTAGGTTGTATTATTATCTTCTCAACTGATTTTTGGATTGCCTTATTTTTCTTACTATTTTACATACTTTGATCTTCATACCAATATGGTCTTTAACTTTTTTAATTCCTTTAGGAAAATTGTAAACTACTGATTTAAAGCACATGCTCTTGTGGTCTTGCATATTTGTTGTCTGGCATAATATTTTTCTTTTCATTCTTTTGCTTTGTTTCTAAATCTAAAGAAGTAAAACTGATCTGGTGGGAAAGCAAGAAGATTAAGATTTGAAGAAGAAAAATTGTCGGGAAAAAGCCCCCAAGCTGTAAAACTGCAAAATGAGGGAAAACTATCTGTAACACTTGAATGGTACTTAGAGATTATGCTCAGAAAACAGACTCAACCTTTTAAAAATTATGCTGGTTGAGATTATAGACTTGATGTAAAATCTGTCACTTCTCATCAAAACATAGTGATTGGGTTTTTTGCCCTAGAAAATATGTTATTTTAAATTTCGATAAAAACCCCAAACAGGCTGGGGTTTCAACCCCAGGCCCCAAATTAAGGTTGACATCTGGGTGATTCCCACAGCCCTTCTCAAAGGGGGGGGGAGTTTACCTTCAGGCTTCCCTCCAGGGTGGGGCCGGCCTGGCAGGGAGAGCTATTGGGTAAATGAGCCCCAGGTGTCGGCATTAAGTAACCAAAGGTCAGGTGTCCCACTGGGGGATAAAAGCTGGGACCCCTTGCAGGCAGGGGCAGTGTCTGTCTGTGAGGTGGATGCACTGTGCAGAGTTTCCTGTTGGGGCAGGACCTCCTGCCTCCCTGGGACTGGGCTCCAGTCAGGTCTGGCCTTTGTAAGTGTGGGCTGTGTGGAGATTCAGTGTGTGGCTTCCTTGGTCTGATGTGTTTGGCTTGTTGACTTGGTTGTTTCCGGTCCCTTTCATGAGACTGCATTTCACCATTTATTCCACCCACTGTTGGTTGTGTGGTGTTGTTGTTGGGGTCAGTGGGATTGATGTCAATTATGTATAATCTGACTTGTTTGTACCCCCAGTGCTCACCCATGTACTGACCCTTTTGTATCAAATACAATTTGGTTATTGGTTCATTTTTAAGCTGGCTGTGTCCTTTATGCTAGGCCTGATCATTGGCAAAACACATGCAAACAAACAAAGCAAAAACCCAAACTCTAAAACCACTAGTTATTTGACAGTTACCTCAGCCTGAGTTGCAATATTTGAACTGGTCTCAAAACTATATATTTATATTTACAAAAAATTTTTCTGCTCCTAAAAAAATCACAATCCCTGAAAACTAACAATGCTTATCTATTTATTTGCTCTTTGGTGAAATAGAATTACAGTTCTAGTGGTTAAAATATTTTCTAATTACATAATCCACTAATATAATCTAAATTCAAAACTTAGTAATATCAAAAATAAAGATGTATTTCTCTGTGAGGAACAATTGCCAAGATTATTTATTTTAGCATTTTAGAGCTCAACTTGATCATGTCATTCATTAGTGTTTATTTTATAAAATAAGAGTGAGAATTATGTCCTCATGTTAATGTTCTTTTATTAATCTAAACCTAAGAAAAATAGATCTTGATTGATCTGATTGAATTGGTGGGAAGGATGGTGAATTTCAACTTTTAATTTAGTGAGCTCTTGTAGAAGAAGACAATATCTAACCTGAAGTTAAAAAGCAAAATTAGGTTTAAGCTCAGTGAAAAATAAAACAGGAATCAAGTATCAGACATCAAGGAAAGAAAACTAATTTTTTTTTATCAGATGAGTTATCTAAGCCACAGTCAGAATAGCTGTAAAAATGTACTAATTTAGTATGTCTAGGCTTTTATATTCCTCCAAGCCTTTAAATGCAGTCTGAATTATAGTTTTATAAGTTAAAATATTTTTTCTTATTTTATAGAAAATTAATGAAATTTCCAAGTGCAGAAATGTCTACAAGAGAGTGCACATCTATGTCCATTTAAAACATTAAATGTGTGTACTACACATAACTGAGTTAGAGGAGACCGATCCTTTAAGAATGGGAATGCTACAGGTGTTTTCTCAATGTCATTGAATGTCATGATGGTTTTTTTTCAACACTTTATTGAATAATTTTGGTTTGCTTCTATATTTTCTTTGATCATATAAGTGTAAAAGTGACAAAGCTTTTATAGGGACAAAGCCAGGTTTTTATCTGTTGTCCTGAATAAGCAAGAGTGATTGATACCAGTGAGCCACAGCTAAAGACATTGCTCTTTGAGTGGTGTTACACTGTACATAGTATCATTGAGTGGGTGAAAGTGTAACATGGAGAGGTGGAATAAAGATGTTCATTTATAAAAGACTCATCAGATGATACACTGATACATTCATGATCTCTTTAATGACTATTACAATGGTGTACACCTTCAAAGCCTTTGAAGAGCTTTAGCTGTGCATCTCCCTTTTATGTCAGCAGGAGACATGCTTTGCTCTGATAATATTTAGCTGACTTTCTTTCACATACTTCGTTACTGAGCAAATCAGAGCTTGATCACTTTTCCTATGGCATGCTATGCATTCTGAAAGTATGTTCAAGCACGTAGTAGAATCATTAAGTAGTGAAGCAAATTATGAGTAATCAGTGTAAGTTTTTTTCATATTATCTTAGCAGTTTCATTTATAGTTTTATGTACTAGCATTCTCTGAATGCTCAAACCCAGTTTTTCAGTATCTTACTGATACTACCATTTTATCCTTGGTTCATATATTCCCTTTCTTTTACTTAGAAGAAAAGAAGAAAATTTTGGGGGAGGGGGAACCTGGGTTTATGAGTTACAAAAAGAATAAAACTGTTTCTATCTGAGTTAGTGTAAAAATTTCTGTTGAATTTATTAGCTTTAGGACTGAGTTCTGTGGACTTGGTACTGTCCAGTGAACTGAGAGTGGATTGTATGTGCTCAGTAAAAACCTGTCATATCTGCTTTTAGGAAAGAAAAAAAAAATCTCTCACAGATATTTGCTGTTGTAGTAAAATTACTCTTGCATATAAGGTTATACTGATAAAAAGTAACATGTTGTACTAAAATATGAGAGAATAAAGCATCATTTGTACCACAGCAGGACTTGAAGCTCCTGATCTTAAAGGACAAGTAGCTTGTTGGCCAGAACTCAGTCATTTTAGTTTGAAGGCAAACTGGGCCATGAAAGAAATGGACGCTTTCCTTTGGTGTTGGTTTCTAATAACAGAAGTGTTGTTATGGTTATAAGAAATGTTATCAGATTTGTTTGAAGGGCCTCCACTGACCAGGAAGGATGATTTAGTCTAGACACAGCTATATTGACTTCCCTGCGGCAGGGAATGATCATCTTTTCATACAGGACAGTTTACAATTCTCTGAGATGTATTGGCTCCCATCTACTCTGATACATCCTGAAGAAATGTACACAGTCTAAAACACAAGATTCATTTTAAATTTAGGGGTGAATTGTGATTAGGTGCAAGCACTTGAACATGGGGTTTCATTTTAATTTGTCACAGGAGTGTGATAGGGCACTAGATAAGGAACTGGCACCTTGTATGTGAAAACAAATGAGGTGGAGATGTATATCTAGAAAAGAGTAAGTATCTTTAAAAATGTAGTAACGTCACAGAAGCATGGTGTGCTAAGGCTTAACTGATTTGTGATTAAAGGTTAGGAAATTAGTACTCACGTACTCACGTAACAGTGGTAGAAGACATGTCCTACCCAGAGTGGAAAACCAGCTAGCTTTAAAGTGATGCAGGCAGAGGAGATTTTTTTTTTTTGTTTCTTTCTGATGATACACTGCAAGATCCAGGCACAGTCCAAACCTGATCAGTTGATTTTACAAAATACATTAAGCAAATGAGCTTTTGAAGAGAATTAGCTAGTAGAGATGTATTTAAACTATGAGGAAATACACCCAGATAACCTCCTTTACAGTCTATTAAAAAATAAGTACTTAGAACATAGTTTTTGATTGGACTTTGGACCAAATAGTCTCTTTTGCAGAAGTGATAGATAGCATCTTTTATGCTTGCAGTCTAAGTTTTACCACTTTCCTAAGAATCATACTGAGAAATAAAGTACAATTTTAGATTTTGCCCCATAACCATTTATAAAAGGACTGAAAAATATGCTAATTTCTATAATTTACAAGCCTATAGATATAAAAACTTACACAATAAAATTATACTTCACTATTCGTAAATATCTAAAAATAAAAAATGGAAATGCCATTGAATTTACCAGTTGTAAGGTGCACTATTCTGCTGTTTAAACACTAACAAGATGCTTAAAATTAAGAGTTGGTTTTGTTCAGTGTTCTTCGTTTTTTTAATTAAGCAGAAAAGAACTCTGTATGTAGGAAGATGCTTTCATACTTGAAGTTTAACTTTTCCTGTAGAAATCTAAAATGAAAATAGTGTTTAAATGGTGAAATAGAATGGTAAATACTACAGTATACTCTTACTGTTGGTGTATCATTCCTTTCTCCTATATAATGACTCGTATTGAGTTGAGACTTTAACATCTTGATTCAGGTTATACAATTCTAAATAGATGTAAAAGGAAGGGGATT